CTTGGAGTAATTTCTTACTAGTCCTATTTTTTGAGCAATTTTGGGTGTGAGGGAGTTGAAAACTCCTCAAAACACCTTGAAAACGCCTCTAGTTTTGTGAACTTAGAGTAATTTTTTACCAGTCCTATTTTTTGAGCAGTTCTGAGTGTAAGGGTCTTGAAAAACTCCTCCAAAAACACCTCAAAAATTATATCCTCCAATATGATTTTATAACTTAGAAAATTTTCCTTACCCCAAATAGTATCTAAAAAGTTAAAAAATTGCAATTTATTCTTTAGTTTTCCAAGAAGAAATATCTCTTAGAAAATAGAGTAAACTACAATTTTGATTTATGTTTCTATTTTTATGTGAAATAGACACTTAAAGAAAGAAAATTCACTAATTTTATGATTTTTGGACTTGAATTAAATAAGATATGAATTTTTTAAGTTGGTGCATGAAATTTGAAAATTTGAAAAATAGCCCTGTATAAAATGATGAATTGTTCTCTAGTGTAAAGGATGTTTGTTGATGTTAAATATATATCAAATGGACTAAATGGTGGCTATGATTTGACTATGATTGATAATTGATTTCACAATTAAATTGGTTAAAACTACTAAGTACAAATATGGGGCAAAAAGTGATTGGTTAACGTATTTATCAATAGGGATAGTAAGGTATCTAAGCACAAGTAAGAGAGCAAGACTAACTATCCTGTGTCGCAGTAAGGGACAAAATGCTAGACTATCTTGACTAGTCCTCGAGCATTCCATGATTGGTGTATGTGAACTAATGGAAGTGACCATAAATGTGAAAATTGTGCACTAAAGTTAAGTTCCAATAATGGATGTTGTACCCATGGCGCTATCCACACTGCAAACACAGAACTCTTGATCTTCAACCAAAAATTAAAGAAATGGATAATTAATTACTTCATAGAGACAACATAGTGAAAAGACATTGAAATGTTTGACTACGAACAATGGTGCTTTCCTTGGAAATATTCTCTTATAGTAAAACTTTAGAAAAATTAATAAGTTTTAACTATTTAAGTAAAAAAAAAATTAGACAATCATTGAGGGTGAATGACCCTTTAAAAACGATAATATTTTTTTAGTGTTGTTTGATAACATTGAGGATTATAAATACGTTTTATTTAAGGGTCCCTGACTAATCTCGAACCATTACCTTCTAGTCCAGCATTAGAGACCTCAGTTCAGGCCTAAAGACTATACATTTAGGAAACTAGCTACTTGGATTTGTATCTTAGATCTTCCTTTTGAATTATACAACAAAAAATTTATGTGACAAGTAGGATCTTACCTAAGTTTAATGCTTAAAATTGACCATAATACTTCTCTCTTTTCTAGAGGTAGGTTTGCTAGAATTTGTGTAGAACTTGACCTTAGGAAAAAAAACTAGTTCCTTCTTTCAAGGTCCTAAGCCAAGAGTTTAAAATTGAATATGAGGAACTGTACCTTATATGTTTTCACTGTGTAAAGTATGGCCATAGGCAAGAATTCCACCTTAACCCTTACAAACCTGCAATTGATAACACTAAATTCATCCCTAGTCCTATGCATATTGAGGAAAATAAAGTAGAGGATCTCATAAGGAACCAAATAAGGTAGATAATAAAGAAACTCAAGAGGGTAATTTAGTTGAGAAGCATGAACCTGGTTAGCTCTGAATGCTAGTTAAGAGACCTGTTAGGAAAAAGATAGGGTCCTATAGCCAAATAACAACTCCTATTCAGAGTGATATGAGTAAGGAAGTAACCTTAGGTTCAAAATAACAACTTTTGCTTCTCTGATTGCTAAATTAAAATTTTTCATTCACCTTAAAGTTAAAACTTTTGGGCATAAGAACTAAATTTTATCTTCAATTTATGCTAGTCTTAAAAGCATCATAGGACTGTTTGTTGGGAGGAACTAATTGAGTTTATCTCTCCTATCAGCTGCTCTTGGAGCTTGGCTAGAGAATTTAACTTTATTCTTTATAGTTCTGAAAAAATAAGGGGTAAATCATCTAATTCTAAAATAGTAAATAGTTTCACTAACTGTTTTCTCTAGTGTGATCTCTCTGATTTGGGTTTCAAGGAAAACTCTTTCACTTAGCATAGGGAAAATCTCAAAGAGAGGTTGGAGAGATTTGTTGTTAATTACTCTTCACTTGCAAGTTACAGCCTGTGGTGGCCTTATTAAAGATTGAAAGAAAAATTTTATGGCTGTCTTTCGTAGCTCTCTACCTCCTTGCTCTCCTCTAGAAGCTGAATTTTGAGGCATTTGTTATGTAATTCAATTATTCCTACAACATACACATATGAACTTTTGTTGGATTAAAGTATTTATCAGATCCAAAACAATTTGCATTATTTATTTCATATAATTTGTAAGATTAGGGACAATATTAAACTTGTGAAGTCTATTAGATTATATCATATATTTAAGAAAATTAATCAATGTACTAATAGATTAGCTAAAATTGTCCTAAAATCTTTTTCTCCTTTAGTTAATTTTTGTGAGATCTTTTGTAGTTTATTTTTGTTTTTGTGTTTGGACTTGTTTAGTATCTAGATTTCTAAGTCCACTTTTTAATTTGACTTGTTTTTTGGGCTCTTAATCCCGTTGATAAGAATTTTTTTAATAATATTATAATTGAAAAATACAAAAAAATCGACGTAATTTAAATAAATTCTTATTTGAATCTATCGTCTCATGACAATACTTTTGCAACAATTACTTTTCTGACGCGTGTTATCGACTCGTTTGCGATGTTGGTGTCACGCTACTATAATGGTATTCAGCATCCACGTAGCACCAATGCCAATCATGACGTCAGTAAAATCTAGGTGTCAATTCTATCGCTGCAGCTTCTGTAACAAGGTAACGACGGCTTAAACTCCAAAGTTCATCCAATATTCAATAAAGATAATGTAAGAATTAGGGCACGTTTTTTTTAGATTTTAAATTTTGAAAATTCAACATTATAAGAATTAATATTAAATATTATTATTAAAACATGATTACACATCAAAATGTATTTCAAAAATAAATTTACAAGAACTAATTTTATTTAAATAATCAAGTAATGTTCTTATAAAATATTAATATAAAATGTCCAAATTAATTACATATTTCAAATTAATTTTATCAATTAGGAAATTAATTTTAAAAATTATTAAAAAAATTTAATATGCATCAAAATACATAAGTAACTAGATTTTTTTACGAGAAAAAATTTTATAAAAAAATTAATCAACATAGTTATTCAATAAATTTACTCCTCTTCTTCTTTTTATCTTTCAAAAAATATAAATTATAAATAAAAATACTTTTTTATTATTAAAAGTAATTATTTATAAAAACATGACTTTTTAACCTTGTTCAAGTTTGTGTTATGAGTTATCATTAAAAATAATAAACAAAATATTACTAAAACATTTTCTAACATAATTTTTAATACTTTTAATACTAAATTTAATTTTCAAACAAGAACTTTCAACTAAATAAATTTGACTAATGATAGCTTATAGCATAACTAAATTAAATATTAGCTGAGATAGAATAACTAATTTAGCTACTAACTAAAAATATTAAATGAAGGAAGAAAATCAACTACGTTGATAGAGTGAAGCAATTAACACCTAAATTTAATGATTAACTGATGTGACACTTTATAATTTTAAGCATTATTTCAACCATAATAGTTGATAATTTGAGGGAAAAAAAAACTGTTTGTAACCATTCCCTTAAAAATAAATTCAAAATTTAAACTTAGAGAGGATAAAATGATAACTACCCTTATTTTCTTAGGAACAAGAGGTTTTAGAACTCTTATGAACTTGAACATGTTTTTAGAATTTATATGTTTTCCATTCACTCCAAAAGCCTAAACATGCTAGAAACATTAGAAACTAAAATAGTTCAGACTAAAACATAAGGAGTTAACATGACTCTAACTTAAAATCTCAGTCATTAATTCTACACACCACCCAATAGTTAGTTGAAGAGTGAGTTTCTAGTTATGTTTTATGAAAATAATATCTAAAATAGTACAATAGACATGCATATCACGCGCTCAACTAACATATTTGAAGCAATTTCAATTTGTTGATAGAAAAAGTTAGTCAAAGATTATTACTTTACCCAAAAAATAACAAACTAAGCAATTCAACACTTTATGTACACAGGGTAGTAGGTTAAGAACATCGATAGCAATTTTTTAAGTCAAATAACTATTTTGTACATACTAACTATTTAAGTTAGATTTGTATATATCATAAACTTTTTTTCTAAACAATCAATCAAACACATTATGACTTATCTTTAACTTTATTTTTTTTATTATTTATTTACTTTTATTTACAATTGTTTTCTTTATAATTTCAACCTTTACATTTATTTATAATCTTCTTCCTTTATTTACAGCCTTTAGCCCATTCGTTCCTTAAAAGTTATAATATTTACTTTCAATTGCACTAATTCAAGAACTTTCTCAAGTATCTTAGAAACTCGCAGTTAAAAAGATAAATTTCTTCTTTTAACGTAATTATCTAATATCTTTGAAAGAAATTATTTATATCCAATTGTGAGTAGATTCATATAAGTTGATATAATTTAATACTTTTTGTACCACTTGCAATTTAAATTTAGCTGAACAATAATTTTTGGTCAATAACATAATTTTGGCACACCTTATGGTATCAAAAAGTGCAATTTTGTTGTTGCATGCAATTAAGATCTAGTTGATTTGTTAATATGGAGTCCTCTCAGGAATAATTTTATTGTTGCATGCAATTTTATATTTTTATAAATAATTATATATAATAAAATCATTTTAAATAATAATTTATTAATTAAAAAAATATTTTAAGTTAACTTTATAAATATAAATAATAATAATAATATTTTTAAGTTATTGAATTTTATACAGGTGTATATATATATATTTTTTTTCTTTTTTTAATTGCTTAACCAATATTTAAAAGCCACGTTTTATTCTCGTAAACTTGTTTCGCTAAAGAGTAACATTTCGTCCTTAACAAAAATAAGGCTGTTCCGGACCGCAACGCACCGCTTCCCACGTTTCTTCATTACCACATTCCTTTCCTTCTTACCACCATCTCCTCGTATGTATGCAATCTTCAATCCTCTTCTCCCTTTCCTTTTTCTTTCAGCACTTTAGTTGTTGGCTATATTAAAATGTCATTACATATCTTTTACATTTTTTTTTCTCGTGAAATTGTTACATTTTCACGTTCATACATTCAAATTTCCATTATTTTTAGGGGGTTCAATCATTCTTTTCTTTTCAGTTTATTGTTACTTTTTAGTGGAAACATGGGTTATTACAGGATTTTGGAATATTGACCAACACGTTTAGAGAAATGGTTGCATTTTTATTTTACTCAGTGATAATCTAGCATTGCTGGGTACAGGTCTAAATTGCAGAGTTTTGGTATGAATTGGAAAAGGAAACTGTTGGCTTCAAGTCTTGCTGGCTTTTACACTGTGATGTTGTTTCTGTACGATCACATAATCTTGGGCCAGTTATGATTTTTTTGAATCAATTTATGGAGTATATTTCATTAATTGATACTTTACATTTTGATATTCAGTGTTTTGATTTTTAGTGTTTAGATGAAGTTCATCAAGAAAAGTGATTATGGACGGGGTAATCGTATAAGCATAATAATAATCACAGGAATCGCTTGATGCAGTATATGGGATCTTTATACTAACTATCAACCAAGTTTTAAAATTTGTGGTTGTACTGCAATAACAGAAATTGAAGATAATTGCCGGAAAATGTGACTGTGGTTGTTCAGTTGTTCTTGAGCACAATTTAAAACCCTGCGAGTATCAGCCCCATGAGAATTATACTTGCTCAAATTTATTATGTTTTGGTCGACATTGCTAGAGATTTATTAGTCTGTAAAACTTATCTAGTGGATGTGGCTACTTTCTCAGTTGCAGTAAAAGGAATATTTTGGAAACAAAAGTGTGTAACTTTAATGTTAGCATCATTGTTTATCTGTCAGGATGCAGCTTCAGGATACCACTGATACAACCACCCTCAGTTATTGGTTAAATTGGAGGGTCTATCTGTGTGCAGTTTGTGTTTTTCTGTCTATGGTCCTTGCTTTTCTTGTAATATGGAGGCATGAACGTTCAAGGAAATTCACATCTGGCAAAGGAGAAAATGAGCAAGACAGGACTTTGTCTGGTGATGAAACATGGAAACCATGCCTGAAAGAAATTCACCCAGTTTGCTTGCTAGCTTTTCGAGTGCTTGCATTCTCTTCTCTTTCGGCATCTCTAGTTGCCAAAATTCATATTAATGGTGGCTCTATATTTTATTATTACACTCAGTAAGTATTTCCTTTCTTTCAATGTTTCTCTGTATTTATTTGCTTTATGAGTCCTGTCACACCCTTATAGTGGTGCCATGGAATTGGTATTTGGTAGCTACTAGCTTGTTTACCTTGTTGATGATTTAAATCTATACTAGAAAACAAATTATCCATAAACTTTATAAATGAATTCAAATCCATTTATGATTTTTTATCTTAGTTTTTTCTCAGTTCCATTTCTCTGTTTTTCATGTCTTTATCACTAAGCTTCAAACTCTATCAATTGTTGTTATTTTGGATTTCTTGCAGATGGACCTTCACTCTGGTTACAATTTATTTTGGGGTACAGCTCTTAATTTTTCTTAGAAGCTTTTAATAGAATCATTCCTGTTCATGTATCTTATTATGCCACTCAGTGATGCTTTTTACACTAAAAATATAGCAGTCAGGAAAAATCTTTCATAGAAAATATAATCCCTGAAGTCTTCAGCATATTTGAATCTCATAATCTGAGCTTTCTTTTTGTAGTGTGCATCTATGCTATCAGTGTATGGGTGTTATCAGCATAAAAAATCAAGCACTACGTATAATGTTAATATTGCTAGAATAGATGCAGAGCAAGGGCCATACATGCCTCTCTTACACCAGAATACTACAAGCCAGTCTAGAATGGAACACCTTGATGATCCCCATGTTCAAATACATAAGAATCAAGTTTCACCCATCTGGAGTTATATTTTTCAAATTTTATTCCAGGTATCAACAAATGGTCAACAACTTTAGCTTCATTGTCCATTGAACATTTCAGCTGAAACTTCTTTGCTTTTCCTTGTGCGTTCAGTTCTTATGTTTATGTGCTTTCTTTACTGTTTTGATGTCTTTGTAAGTGTGATCCGATCTTCTTTTTTCTTTTCCTTCTTTTTTTCATTTTTTGTTTTGCATCTTGTAATTTGTTCTCTCCTTCAAATGCTTGGTTTTGCCAAGCTTTCTAGCTTACATAGAATCTATATGCATATTTTTGCTAGGTTGGCATTTGATGTAGACTAAATCTGCCAGTTTTGAACCATAATGCATGAAAAGTCAGATCATTTTCATATTTTTATTGACTTTCAACTTGATACATAAAGCTGAATTTCACATCTTTTTTAATAATGTCAAGAATTTAACATCTGTTCATGTTGATTACATTGTTGCATATTTTCATTTCCCTTGATATTAATGTGTTTAATTAAGTCTTTAAACAGATGAATGCAGGGGCAGTGATGCTTACGGATTGTGTTTATTGGATCATTATATTTCCATTTCTTACCCTGAGGGATTACAACTTTAACTTTGTAAGTAGCAACTTCCCATTGGTTCCTATATTGTATACTTTCTTCTTTCTTAACTTATGCTAACATTAATTGTTTCTTAACTTTATTTACTTTTTGCTAACATAATGGGTTGATGAGACACTAACTTGCTATAAATGTTTGAGCTTGGCACTCATGGTTAGCCCTATATGATATTCTGATCCTTTTCTAACAACATAATTAGTTTAAGCTATTACTATACTTTAAAGAATGAGTTTCTCATTAGTTAAAAGTGTTTTTACTAATTGTTTTTTCTAACAATATAATCCCTGAAGGAAATATTTTTGTATGGAGACACTGTTGTAAACATTCTTTTACTTTGTGTGGGGTACCAATTCCCCAACATAGAGATTCAATAGCAATAATACACGATTTTTTCCTTGGTTCTGTTTTTTTTTTTTTTCTCTGTTCTTATTCTTCGGGTCCAATTCTATCAATTGGTATCAAAACACTCAATTCTGAGGTGCAAAGATTGCTAATGGTACACACAAGAATGGAGGCTCGATTGGAATCATTGGAGCTTGGGTTTGAGAAAATTCTTCAGCAGCTTGAGGATGATGAGCAAGAAATGAAGAAATTATTCCAAGAAGCTATGAGAAACATCACACAAAATTCAAAGCGAGATGATCACAACATAGACGAAGGAAGCAATTCGGAGGGAGACGCATGAAAAAGTCAATCGCATGTTCGGGGTGGAAAAGATCGATGGAGGAAACTAAAGATTCCTATATTTTCAGGAGAGAATATGTATGGTTGGGTGAATCAGGGGGAGAGATATTTCAACCTAATCGGTATTTCGGTGGAAGAAAAGTTATAAGCAGTGTTAATAGCCATGGAAGGGATGGCGTACTTGGTATCAATGGTGGGAGTATTGCACTCAAAACCCTAATTGGGAGGATTTCAGCTTGGCAATAATAAGAAGATTTCAACCTTCAATGTTGCAAAATTCATATGAAATGTTATCAAGTTTGAAGCAGATGGTGACTGTAGAAGAATATAAGGAACAATTCGAGTTATACGCTGGCCCTCTCAAAGGGGTGAACCCTGAATACCTCAGAGGAGTATTTTTAAATGGGTTGAAGAAAGTGATCTGGCAGAATTGAGGTTACATCACTTAGATACTCTACCAGAACTGATTGATTAAGCTCAGAGAATTGATGAGAAGAATATGTTACACTCTAAAGGGGCTAACAGTAATGGCAAAGGGGTAGGTTCCTACAAGAACTACCCTTCTTCAAGAACAGTGACTTGGAAGGTAGGAAATAAAAGCTCGAATGTCACATGGGTTAGTGGGACCAATGTTGGAGATGATCCAAGTGTAACCTCAGGAGGGCAGATCAGTGACATTTCTAAGTCAAGCATTATCAGAAAGAGCGCAAATCAGTTTATGAATGGGAGCTCATGACAATTGTAATGGCAACATAGAAATGGCGGTATTACCTGATGGGCAGACATTTTATAGTTCATACAGATTGAAAAGCCTCAGGTTTATTAATGATCAGAGGCTATGGGTTGAGGAGCAATTTAAATGGACTTCTAAACTAATTGGTGTGGACTTTGAAATCAATTATAAACCTGGATCTGATAATGCGTAAGCAAATGCTTTATCAAGGACGATGCTATATTCTGCTCTATCGGTTGTTCAATTTTCAGACATGGGAAATTGGGAGGAGGAAGTACATAATGATGATAAACACAGGGTCATAATACATGATTTATTGCAGGATCCGAATACACACCTAAGATTTTCTTTTCATAATAGGAAATTACTATACAAGGGGAAACTGGTCCTACCCAAAGGGTCCACTAGAATTCCATTATTATTATCTAAGTATCATAATTCTGCAGTAGGAGAACATTCCTGTTTTCTCGGAACTTATAAGCACATTGCTGCATTGGTATATTGAAAGGAAGGAGGAAAGATATACACAGGTTTGTGGCAACTTGTGAAGTTTATCAACAGAATAAGTATCAAGCTTTATGTCCGGCTGGGTCTTGCAACCTCTATCAGTACCTTCATAAGTATGGGCTGATATTTCAATGGACTTTATAGAGGGACTTCCAAAGGCGCAAGGAAAGGACAACATCCTAGTAGTAGTAGATCGACTTATAAAGTATGCTCACTTCCTCCCCTTGAGCCATACTTTCACATCCCGGGATTTTGCTGAGATTTTTCTGAAGGAGGTAGTTTGCTTACATGATTTTCCTTCCATTATTGTTTCTGATTGAGATATAATCTTCCTTAGTAACTTTTGGACTGAGTTATTCAAATTTGCTGGTACTAAATTGAAATTTAGTTCAGCTTATCACCCTTAGTTGGATGAACAAATGAAGGCTGTTAATTGTTGTTTGGAAACATTTACGATGCTTGAGTGGGGGAAAACCGAAACAATGGCCACGGTGGTTAAGTTGGGCTAAATTCTAGTTTAACACCAATTACAACAGTTCTATTAAACTTACCCCGTTGAAAGCTCCCTATGGACATGATCCTCCTCATCTTCTTAAGGGAACTATTGTACCATCTGTGGTTGAAGAAGTCAATCAATTGACACAAGAATGCAATTTCATCATACATGACTTGGGGAAAAACCTTTTCAAGGCCCAAGATCAAATGTAAGCTTTATGCTAATTAACACAGGAGGGAAGTTCAATATGCTCTTGGGGATTGGGTTTATCTCAAGCTACAGCCTTACAGATTGAAGTCTTTAGCTAGAAGGATGAATGACAAATTAAGTCCTAGATTTTATGGACCATATCAAATTGTTTGAAGAGTAGGACAGGTTGCTTACCAGTTGCAACCTCCGGATGGTAGTCGGATCCATCTTATTTTTCATGTCTCCCTTCTTAAGAAGGCCATTGGTCCAGCAACTCAATTTCAACCCTTACCTAAGATGTTAACGGATAACTTGGAACTTCAAGTAGAACCTATAGAGGTGCTAAGAGTTTGTAATAATCCTTCAGGCATAGTAGAAGTATTGATCAAGTGGAAGGATCTCCCCGAATTTGAAGTCATGTGGGAACTGATGCTACTTTCTAGGAACATTTTCTACAATTTCATCTTGAGGACAAGGTGGAACTTTTTTTTTATTTTTTTGGGGGGGTGGTGGTATTGTTAGACCTTTGATTAGGATAGTATATGTTAAAAAAAAATAAAGATGGGCCGACCTAGATCAGCAATAACTAGTTACAAGTATTTTTACTAATTGAGAATAAATAGGACAAAGGGAGAAAAGGGGACAATTCAGTTAGTCGCTTGGGATTAGGCTAGGAGAGATCGGGCTCTCAAACACTTGAAAGAAACGTTGTTGTAAGGAGACTATGTTTGTAAACATTCTTTTACTTTGTGTGGGGTACCAATTCCCCAACATGGAGATTCAATAGCAATAATACACGATTCTTTCCTTGGTTTTGTTTTTTTTTTACCCCTCTGCTCTTATTCTTTTGGTCTAGTTTTATCAAAACTTTTGATGTAAGTGTTTTAGCCACAGCAGCTCATGTGGTGTGGGTCATGACATGATACTAAACTTTCGTACTTGATCTAGCAAAAACATTTTGTCTTTTACTTTTCAATAGGACAAGGCTACCATCCATTAAAACACAATAGCCTGAAGTGGACTGTCTATCACTTACATCACATTCCCAATCTGCATTTAAGTATCCAACAATGTCCATTTGTCATTCGTCAGTGCAAACAAGTCCCTTTCCCAGTGACCCTTTCATGTACTAAGGATTCGTACAATTGCTTGCCAATGACTCTCACAAGGAGAGTTAAGGAACTAAATTAAAATGGTGATAGGAAATAATACATTAGGTCTGGTCATGGGGAGATAATTTAATTTTTCCACTAGTCCTCGATATCTTCCTAGGTCAGAATAAAGCTCCCCTTGCTTGGGCTCATCCCATATGTCAAGTGTATACTTTTTTTGAGTTAAAAAAGCACTTGACTTTGATTGGGCAACCTCAATCCCTAGGATATAGCCTAGAGGACCAAAGTTCGTAGTTTGAAAGTGTGGAAATAAGTGTTGTTTTAGGGCATTGATGCTCTCCTGATCATCACCTGAAATACACACATACAGTGTGTGTGGTGACAAGCATCGAAAGGAAACACAAAGTGGTTTGTCTCACAACTGATCATTCCAAATTGTTGTATAGCTTTACTAAACTGACCAAACCAAGCTCGAGGGTGAATGTTTTATGCCATAAAGAGATTTGTGCAATTTTCTTACAAGACCTAACTCCCCCTGGGCAACAAACCTGAACGGTTGCTCCATATATCTCCTCCAAATCATTGTGTAAGAATGCATTTTTAATATCTAATTGAAATAAGGACCAATGCCTCATGGCAGCTATTGCTAAAAAAAGGCGAACTAAGGCCATCTTCACATTTGGGGATAAAACAATTGCAATCAAAACCATAAACTTGTGTGTATCCTTTAGCCACAAGATAGGCCACCAGTCTATCAAGGTCCACTGTTATACTACAGACCTACTAGCAACCAACAACAAATTTTTTTAGTAGAGGTGCGACAAACACTTGGGTATGGTTAGAGTTGAATGCTGCCATCTCATTAATCATTGCTTGGTGCCATCTTGGACGAGATAAGGCCTCCTGTACTATCTTAGGGAAGGTAATAAATGAAATAACAAAAATAAAAGATAGTTAGTAGGAGACAAATGATGATATGAGAGAAAGTTGTAAATATGATCAAGAAGGAGGTAGATGGTGCCAAAGCAGAAGAGACTGAAGCAGGAGTTAAATCAATAGGCTCAACTGCAGAAGCAGTATTAGGAATAAAAAGATGTGACCGACACTCATTAGGAAAGGAACTCTGACATGCTTTCCAAGCTGACATGTTTCACATTCTAAAGAATTTAATTGTGCGAGATTAGATACTGTTTTCCTCAATTTATTCAAGATTGGATGACCTAGATGACAGTGAACAAGGAGACTTGATAGAAGCTCAAATACTAAAAGTAGATGG